GGTTCCAGAGCGTCGTACGACGCAAATCGGATGCAGTGTGAATCCAGCATTATATGCAGCACATATTAGGTCTGTTCTTTTTGACTGAACTTTTGCACCAGTTCATCTTTCTTCCTTTTCTCTCCAGGAGGAAAAAGAGGAAGAAAGATGAACTGGTGCAAAAGTTCAGCCAAAAAGAACAGGCCTCTTGTGACGAATTGACTGCAGGAGCCGGTGACAAAACTACAATTTTTAATTTTCTTTTATTTTCCGCATTAAATTGTAGCTGGCAGCCTGTGTTGTTGTGAAAGTGATTATTTCAATATATTTAAAACAATTTTAAAAGAAAGAAACGGTACAAATGTGGCTTTTTACATATGTTGACAGTAGACAGTATAAGTTCATTTGTATTGTCAATATCACAATTTTTTATGTATGTAGTACATATGTATATTTTTTATAATTAAATATGTAAACTGATGTAAACCGATTTGCTCTCAGTTGCATTCAGTATTGCATTAGCTTTCCTGAATGATTTAAAATAGGAAATAGATGGCGATAGTAATGCGTTCGCAAAACTATCCGCTTCCATCCGCCAATCGAGCGGGAACTCGAGAAATCCGGAGTTGCGTTCAAAAACTCATCCAATTACAATGTATTAGATGAGTAGTGGATGTAAACAAGAATTTGACTTGAACAGTCGTTGTAACGTAAATAATTGTATTGTAACTGTTATCACTCAGATTACGCAGTGCGTAGCAAAGCGGACGTACCAAGCGGATATTGCGTCGCGGGAAAACCCACAAAATCGCTGAGGACTGTTATTTCAACGTGAATATTCGAGGCGCAAATGACGCGCATATCCGCATCGTAACCTACAAGCTTTTTTGACGATAGACGCTGAAGCGATTTATGAGTATTAAGGCGGGCTAAATATGCTTTCGTTCGATTGTTGCTCGCCACATACGCTGAGCAACGAGATTTTCCAGGACGATTGAACGCGCCGGAAGGACTCGGGGATGAGAGGCCGAGGGCGCGGGAGAATGTATCGTAGACAGTTAGTATTAGTATGGAATACGACTCGGAATCCAGCTGCGAGGGCCGTCGTCTGAGAGACTTGGAGAATCCGGACGAGTCGGTGCGTGAAAAATGCGACGACGCCCCGGTCGAACCGTCCAAGTTCAGGTCGCACCTCACCGGCAAGAAGAGCCTCTCCGCGCAGGTAATGGAATATTATCGCAAGTATTCCCGAGACGCCAATTTGGATCAGTATTTCTCGCTACCTATGTCGAATACTCCACAGGAAGCTATTAAGAATTATTACAGTTTGTACGAATTAAACGCCCAAGTGGGTACATCCAGCAGACAGGGCTGCGTCGGAGAGGAATACGATTTAAAGCCCTGCGTGCCGAAAGAAAGGCGTAGGTGGGTAAGACCCCCGTTGATCGGACAGTCTTCGAACACAGATCATTCTCTGGATCAGGCCTCAACCAGGTATGTTCAACCGTTGACAGATATCCAGACGCCATCGCCAGATCTCAAGCGTATTACACCGGAGACGATACACGAGGAGAGAAACGAGAGTCAGGAGAAGTTTCCGGAGGTGAACGAGAGAAAGCTGTCCTCTCCGACCTCCAGCGTGGCATCCTATAAACCACTGGAGTGGGACAGCGGCGCAGATGTCGGTTACTTCAATTCACACGCTCACAATAAGCAAGACGATAAAAAATTAAGCACCATAGAACGTATGGCTCTAGCACGAGGATGCTCCGCCGCCTTACGGTTAGACCCGGAGGGTACCACTGAATCAGGGATGCAATCCGGGAAGAACGCGACGGCACAGAGTGGTTCAAAATCCACAGCTCCCGATGCAAACTCCACACCGTTAATCGGAAATATTTCGGGATCGGAGAGCGAGATAGAGATAACACCTATTGCAAAGAATCATTTGCCAGGCATTATAACGGGAGATGACATAAAGTCACAAGAGAGATGCGTTCCAAGTGACTCCACGCAATTGAAAGCTATAGTAAGACCTACCAGATTGGAGATACACGACACTCCCACGTCGGTGTTTAAGGTTCCATTAGCGAAATATTCGACGGTAGAGAAAAGGATCGTAAATAAACGCAAGGAAGTTATTCGTCCATCGAGTTCGCCATTGAAGAAAAGCATCTCGATGAATGTAATACCCCCGTTATCATCGAAATGTTCATTGAAGAGGAGCCAGAGCGAAGTAAATCTTCACGCTAAAGAAAGGAAAACTATATTTCCTCTAATCTTTAACTCCACGTCCTCCATCTCTACCGTAGTGAATAAACCTGCCACTTGCGACAAGGTGATACAAACGAGTCCTGATGTGTGCACTCATGAATCCATTGGCGTGCAAGTTTCGGATTTTGAAGAAACGAAACCGCCGACAGTGGAGAAGGATTCTAATCTGCAAACGGCGATACATTCTATTTTGAAAAGGTCTAAAGGTACATATAAAGTTAAAAATCCGAGAAAATGCGACGTTTCGCGTTCGACAGGTGACGCCGAGGTCAGCGCGGACACGAAGGAGAGCCAGAAACGTCGAAATAGCTCGGACATCTCCCGAAACGCATCCACCTCGGCGACACCGCAGCCTGACGAGACGGAAAACGTATCCGGGAGAGCCAATAGTTTCGAGTATTTTCCGGGACACACCTACGCGAATGTCCCAAACGAAAGGGACAGTCACGTTTTCTCGGACACAGGTAGATCGAATTCGACATTGCCAAACAGCAGTTCCAGTGTCAACGATAAGCTCTGGGGAGACTCGGATAGCTTGGTTCGAGATTTGGAGAAAAGTGTCAACATCTTGAAGAGTCTCGTCGACGCTAATAAATGCGACAAGCAGATCAAGAAAAGACTGATACACCACGTAATTAAGCGACTCATAACTGCGAAATATACAGACGACAAGATAGAGCATAATTTGGAAGATAACGTTCCTTGGAATCCGGACGATGCCAGGAATAAGATGTACCGAGCCGAACTGCTTCAGGCCCTGACGAACAAGCATAGCACTACCGAATCCTCGGATGAGTGGAACTTGCAGAAGAAGGACGTGTCTATGCAGAAGTCGATGGGGACTGCCAGTGATGTCATAAAGGAAGTCGCGTTAGAGAGTAGTAATAGCGACAAGTTTGACCGACATACTGATAGAACGGAAATGGACGGCAGGAAAGCGCGATTAGGACTGAGGACGGATGATTGTCAGCAGACTAGTAATACGCCAACGGATCCTGATAAGAGCGAGAGCTCCGAATGCTTTGTGCCTCAGCGCAATCATAAGAACACTAAGGTGAACGACATATTTTGTTTCAAGGAGAACTGCAAACTACCACACAGAGAGTCGACCACGACGAACAGTATACCACCAGATCACAACAGGATCTTACTGGACGCCGTCGTAAACAACAGAAGAACGCCAGTCGAGTCCAACAATAACACGAATAATACCGACTGGAGATTACCGACGACGTCGTCTGAAAGACAATTTGAATTGAAGAAGCGCAGTATGTCCGAATCCGGTGATTCCAAGCTCGTTAATTACGCCGAGATGGAGAAGAGAAATCAACTTATTTGGATTACAAACGAGATTAGCCACCTCTGTAATTTAAAAAAGTATGTATTGCTCTGTTTTCTAAATTTCTAAATTTCCGTTTTAACAAACTCATTTTTTTAACATTATATTTTTTAATTTGGATTTTATTCTATTTGCTAGATTACTGGAACAACCCAGGCGATTGGAAAGACCAAAATCCTCACCAAGAAAATCTAAATCGGCGAATCTCAAGCCAAAGCAGACAGCGATACTTAGGCGGGAACAACACGCGGATGCCATGCATAGGTAACTCGTATTTGTTTATAATATATTGTAATGATTGTATAATCTGAGCCGATATTTACTGTCCCGTCTTAAGGTGTTAATACGACTCTGTGATTGATTTATTTATGACATCTTAAGATTGTACTTAAAACTTATTAAATATAAGAATCGAATGATATTACTATGAATATCGACTATAATGTAGTGACTGTAATTCGTACGATCTAACACCGTTTAATTTCATGTTCTCAGGAACATATCTGACTTGCGAGAAGATTCCGTTAACGAGCCATGGTCGTCTCACTGCAATTTGGCAATGTGTGAAACCCCTGGCGATAATATGGTCCAGAGGATCATGAAACGTAACAGTTGCACACAAACGGCTTTAGGCGTGGCTAATGCTTATTCAAAGACTGGCGGGGAGATCGTGTCTGCTGGCAGAACGCGGAGATCTGCGACAAAACATATCGCTGTTAGTGTGCAGACGCTACCTCGGGAAACGTCATCAACACCGGTGACGACAGAATCCGACGTATACGATGCGAAGTATACGAATCTTCAAAAGCCGTGCGCGCATTATCAAAACGACACCAAGTGCAGAGATCAGTCGTGTCAAACCCACTCCACTCCGATTGTACAACGGACATGTGCACGATGTAAACAGAGTTCGTCCGAGACGGCCTTGATCAGATCGCGAAAGAGTCATCAAGAAGATGTGCCGGCTGTTTCACAGCAGACACAAACGAATTATGTGAGCGATAACAGCACAGTGGAGTCGGTTCATCATCGTATATCGCAAAGTAGCAGCGTCCAGCCGAAACAGAAAGAGGCTAAGAATCAAATCAATGCGTCAAAATCAAAATGTAATTGTGTACATGGCGTTTATCCGCCCATAGGTGATAACAAAGGCGGCTCGAGCGCTGTTAAAGCCAAACGGATTGAATATTACAAACGACCATTTACGACATGTCCATTGTGTTTTAAACAGAAGTCTGTTATAGATATTAATAATACCGTCTGTAGTGTATGTCAAAAGAATTCTTGTATTCACGGTAACATTTCAGGGGTAGAACAAATCTGTGGAAATGCTTGCGAGTGTGATAATATCTCTGCTAATGACGCGGATAGGAGGATTGTCATTGGAAAATCCCGACAAAACTACAACGCGGAAAGCCAGAACAGAATGCGCGCGCTAAATTACAGCGAACAGAGTGACACGGGGAAGATTTGTAATTGCACGAACGATTGTGCTGCGTGCCATAATTCGGGAACTGCAGAAACACTGTGCGAATGTTATACGGGCGGTAAAATCGACAATAACGGCTTGTGCCGTTTTGACTGTCAACTAAAGAAAGGAGAACGTCAACCGCAGACACAAATTTACTCTGATAGTTCGCAGGATAGCGACGTGAATCAACAACGTAAAGTACAAAGTAGCTTAAAATGCAATTGCGATGAGGTTTGCTCCTGTAATAATAGTCAAGCGAAAGACATTGTCAAAGGGAAAACGTGCAAGAGTTATACATCCAAACCAAACTATGCAGATGATACCAGTATTAACGAGACTGACAGAAATTATAAACATTGCCGCGTGTGTGGTGCCATGTATCAAAATACTAAAAAATGTGGCTGTCGTCAGACGTATCCCAAAGCTGTCGCGTATGAATTATCGTTTACAAAAGCAAATGCCTCGAAAAATGAAATCTTAGATATACCAAAAGTCCTCAAACAACCGTTGAATGCAGGAAAATCTGATAGCTGTCCTTGTGATATTATAAAAAGAAATAACGCCAGCAAAAATCTTCATCAAACGAGTACCTTACAGGTAAAAATTTGATTTATTTTAATAAATAAGATATTCAGATATTAAATCTTATTACTTGAAATAATCTTTATTTGCAACGGCAATATTCCGAATTAAAATTGTTTAATTCATAGAGGATAGATAATATTAGCATTACAGTCTTTATTAATGACATTAAACCAATTTTAGGATTATTTATCTAGGAATAATCCTGAATTTGTGGGCAATGCGGAAACACGCCGACAGTATTTGTCGGAAATATGCCAATTGCGCGAATTGAGGAAAGAAAAACGAATACAGTTATTGGCGATAGCTAGTATGTCCAACGTTATTAAATCCGCACCAATACGAAAGCCAATAGGTAAGATTACTTGTAAATTTGTCAAATTAATAAAATTTATGTTTTGTTATACTTTGATAAAAATTTGCAAATTATAGCTTTGTATCATAATTTTTCGTAAATATTTTATTGCAGTTTACATGCAGCGAAAAATTACCGATGAGGAGATGAAGGAGAGATCACGTAAACGATATCTCCGACTGAATGAAGTGCGATTTAAACGGCGGCAACAAGAACGGCAAGAGGAAGCACGTCGAAATAAGCTTATGGCAAAAATCTTTTGCAAAAGATTGCAGCAAAAAGTATTGAGGGGCCAAGTAGATTTATCTCAAAGCATTAGCGTTATATCTAATTTGTAGTATTATTAGCATCTACTTGTGTAGAATGCTATTCTATTTTCGCAAATGAGCGATATATACCATGACAAGAGCTATCTCACAGATTTTATCGAAGTTTCGTTACTACCTGCAGCAGGATTAGAATTTACATGTTAACAAGATATACTTGTAATATATAAATATAAAAATTTGACGAGTTTTATAATAAAAGTTTATTTCGGGAGAAACTTAACTGATAAAAAAATTATATTGTTATTTGTTATTGTTTATTTTGATTTTAGAAGTTTTTAAAAGAATAAATAAAATATACATATTGCATTTCGCACTTACGAACAAATTAGATATCTGTAAAATTGCAAATAAATAGTATAATTTTAAATAGTGTAATTTTTATAATATATCGAACTTATTATCTCAAAAGTATAAACTGTTTTTTATTTTTTTATTATTAGATGCTTTTTCAGTTGCATTTTAGATCTAAACAGTTTTGTCACAAAACTGTTATACATAATAATGATTTATAAGATAACTACAAACTTAGGTTTCAAGCAAACGCAATGAATACAAAATAAGCAAATTTTAACAAAATCTAAGAGATAGTTCTTAATATCACACTTGCTTTAATTTCTAAAAACGCCTATCCTTAAGTGAGAAAATTTTAGAATATTCTATTTTTTGAAAAAAAAAAAAGATATTCGTTTCACACTTTAATTGTATTATCTCAGGTAGTTGCGTTTAAATTTGTATTACGGTAATGTGTGTTTTTTTAGTAAAATTGCATAATAGGACTCGGATTTATGATTTATTTATAATTATATTGAATATGTGTATTACAAATAACGAAGGATCTGATCTGTTTTACAGTAATGCGTAAAAGTTACTCGCGTATATCGTTAAGTCTATTGTTAGTGATGAGATGATTAAATAGTACAAAAAGATATTGAATCTCTTTATGTGTTTTATATACTTTATACACATCATAGATACAAAAACAAATTCTTTAGAACAATGATCTGTATGTTTCAATTTCCGTTTCTTTTATAAATATGAAAATCAAATTAAAATATTGATATAATTTTTCTGACTTCGTATTTAAATAGAAATATACATATAGTCATAATTCTTATTTATGTTCGACAATAATTAAATTATGTTAAAGTTCTTTACATTATGATACTGATAGCATCAGAAATTGAATTTAGTGAAATCATACTGATAGAAACGTAACGATAATAATTCATTCAATATACATATATAGCAATATATAGTATATATTTGATACACATATAGTATAACAAAATTATTTACACGTAGTAAAACAACACATCATTGAAACATACCATCGATCATAAAAAATGAATGCTTTAAAATAAGAAACAATTTTAAACATATAACGTAGTACCTGAATCTTGTAATATAGCATTTTTTTATTGCATATGAAATAAAACGTGCTAAGAAATTCTTAAAATATATGTATATTTTCGAGTGTAAGAGGAGAGAATGTCGCTTTATTCAACCTTTTAAATGTTATAACATAATTATATAGGTACATATACAATATATAAAACTTTATCGAACAACCACGATAGGATATATTACGCTTAACGCGACTCAATTTAACGCCTGCCTTTAGTGAAAAAAAATGTTAAAACAGATTTGAGTTATTTAATCCATATATATATATATATGTATACAGGGTGTTTGGAAAATAATGATAAATTTTTTCAGAATTTTTTAGTACCATATTTTCTCAAGTTAAAAATGAGAAAATGCTGTACTAAAAAGTTGATAAATTCTAAAAAAATTCGTAAAGTTCTATGAGAAGAAAACAAACAATTTTTGTCTCTTGCAGTTTTTCTGTAAAGTTGATAGTATTTGAGTAACAAATTATTGAAGACCAATTTTCGGCAATGTTTAGCAATTAGGGTAACTCCGGTATATACGTCGCACCTATTAAAAACTTAATTTATTAAGTATTACTTACTATGTTTATAGTAAACGAACTATATCAATAAAAACTTTGTACTGTCTACTACTATGAAAAAAATATTAGAAATCCGAAATATTTATTTTTCATATTAAAAAATAAACTTTTTGAAACCCTTGGTATTTTTGTCATATATCCCATAGGGGTGGGAATATGGCTACTCATAGGGGGAGGGGGGGATATGTACGGTTCATGAAAAATTTACAAATAATGCATATAAATAAGACATATAATGGCATAATAACTTATAAAATATGTTTATAAAGTTTTATTAAGGAATAAGAATGGTAAATATGTATATGAAGTAATAAATAATAATTATGATCTTCCTACATATATTACAAATGTTATGACATGAGGTACATATTTCATATAATGCGTTTATTGCATTTAGTGCACTGAATTCAATCTGCGCACTTTGTATGCTTTGGGCATAAATCCTGCTCGCTAAAAATGCCGTATATCCCGAACAGGTGGGATATACAAGACAACAAACTAAACAAAGAATACAAAAGCAAAGCTCTTGTATTTTGTTACACAACATGCTTTACTATTCCACTACACATATGTATCACGAAATAACCACTAAGTCTTTTACACGCTCTACATCATTTAATGTAGATTATAATTTATGATGGCGTTACTTATTACAGTGACAAATCGATTCAACTCACAATAAATTCATTAATATTAACAGTAAGAAGCTGAAATCATAATGCAATATAATATAACATGAAGACATGTAACAGAGTAGTTACGGGAAAATTACCCCTACTTCTTCTATTTTTTCTAACTTCTGCGGCGTAAATCCCAGCGCAGCCTATTTGCCGGAGTTACCCTAATATCTCGTTAACTATTGCGAAAATTGCAAAATGGTAGAGGACTTTTCTTTTCAGTTTAGTCCATTCTACTCCTATACGAAAGATTTATCATTATTTTCCAAACACCCTGTATATATACATATATGTCCTTTAAGCCAGATATTTAATCGATACATTCGTAATTATTCTTTAATATTATATTAAAATAATGCGTTTATATAAAGGAGAGGCTGACAAATTAAAACTTTATGCCCGAGAGATATTTCTATTTTGGAATTCTTTTTAAGCTGCTGTCATTTACTATAATTATTGTTTACAATTTTTAATATTTCTTTTCACTTCTGCTGTACGTTTGTATCTTTAATTTAGGTTCAATTTTTTTTATCGCATTTTCTATATTTTCTTGCAACTTTTCACGTTCCACTCTCTTTTGCCCAAAAGTTTTAAATAAACGCTCATTTTTTTTCTAATAATAATTAAGTGCAAAAAGCGCAACGCAACGCAGTTAAAAGAAACTTTTCGCTTTCTCAATTATTTACGAATATTTTGGAGAAAATCGAGGAAAAGATTCGCGTATATCTTGAATATTGTGAAATTTTTAGGAAGATGTGCAATTGCATTTTATTGATTTTCAAAGAAAAACCAGTTTTATCGACGAACTCGTTCCAACTTGTTCGGTCTATCGTCCTCGCGAACTGGATTCCGGCG